CCTTATTCTCTAACTTCAAGGGGCTAACATCATGTGTACTTGGGCATCCTTTTTCAAAAATGCCTTAAACTTCTAAATAGTTAAGAAATTCTTACTTTTACCCTTAACAAACTGACCAAAGACAATTGTTTAATGAAAATAATTTAACAGGACATGGTTGGAAGGTAACCAATTCATACCTAAAATAACATAAAGTTAACTAAAAGGCAAAAAAATTAAGTTAACTATAAAATTCCTATCAACAACTTTCAAAGGACATGTAAGGCACACATCAAACATAGAAATTGGTGCACTAGTTGGCATTTTCATTACAAGTTCAAACTTCAAAGCAAATACAAGTAATTTAAGCTTTGACACACAAGCTTGTGATATAAAGGAATAAGTTGCAGTAAAATTAAACAAGACAACGAATGAGTCTCCAACAATGAGATGTACCCCTTAGGTTAAGTCATCCAATTGTGAGACTTCAGTGCCATTAAAAGCAAAAACTCTCATAGAAGCCTTTATTTGCTAGATTGGAAGCCACTCCCATTAGCACTCGTTGACTTTCTCTTAGGGTTGGGACAATCTTTCACAAAATGCCCATTACCTTATCAGTTGAAGAAAATCAACCCCAACTCTAGACAATCAAGGGACTTGTGGCCTAAACAACCTTACTTGAAGCACGCCAACTAGCCTCTAGGAGAAGACCTCTCACTACCACTAAATGAGAGTTAATTAATATTTATTTTATTATTAATTATTATATTTTGTGATAGTTAAATGTGTGCATTTTAATACTTAATTGAAATTATTTTTATGTGAATATATTGTGAGATTTTATAATTAAAGATTATATTATTTAGTTATTTATTAAATAAGGAAAGGAATTTTTTAGATAATTATGGTTGATATTTTTGACTAAAGGGTTAAAGTAAGGTTAAGTTTTAAAAAGAGCTTATCAATTTTTACAATCTCTCACTTTTCATGTATGCATTACACTTTAAAGCTCGGAGAACTTGAAAAAGGAAGAAAAAACCCAAGAGTCGATCATCCATCTTTTTCTGTTCAACAAGGTAAGGAAGGAGTGAGAAACCTCTCTCTGGGTGTGGTAATGAATGTTGGATAGTGGGATTGACCCCTAATCCTATGTATATTGTATGTCTATGTATAAGGGATTTTTCCCAAATGTGTCTTTATCTTCTCTATTTCTCTTAATATGTTCTAATTCTTGTAATTAGTATGTATATGTGTGAGTAATTAATGTTCATGATTGGCTTGTAATTACATATTTTGGTGTTCCTATGAGTTCTTGTGGGAAACCCTAAGGAAATGCATTGGTAATTGTATGAGAAGATTGTTTGAATATATACTTGTATGAGTAAATTGTACTGTTTTGAATTTTTATTACATGATTTATAACACTTTCATCAATTGTATAAATAGATTGATGATTTGGGATGAAAATGTGAAAATCCCAAATTTAGAGTTTTTGATTGTAGAAATCACGCTGAGCAACATTTTTGGCATTGAGTGTCACGGTGGCAAATAGCTAGAAGTGTTGTCTATGACCCTTAGGCTGAGTGTGAGATTCACGCTGAGCTTGAGTTTCATGTTGAGTGTGGCTCCACCAGAGAGTTAGATTTACTCTCTAAAAGCCCTGCACTAAGCGTCAGTTGCCTATTTGTGTTTCCTTCCTTCTTTGTTTAATGAATTGTACTAGTGTGATGTGAGTCTTATGCTACTTCTCTATTGTGATCTATGAATGGTAGTGATATGATTTCTTGTGCTATTCAATGTTAACCTTGAATGGATATAGTTTCATTGTTGATTTCTATACTAACATAGTTGATGATTATGTGATATGAAATAAATTGATATAGTTGAAACGACATGATGAGGTCATATGATAATGAGACATCAAAATATGATATGATAATGACTAGAGTCTTGATTTAAATGCATCATATGCATAAATATTTTTAATGATACAATATGGAATACACTGTCAAGGAAGACCCCCTTGTATGAAAGCTTGGGGATCGATCCTTACGAATAGCTTTGGAAGCCCCAGTCTTGTCCTTTGTGTGCATGGGATGTATCTTATTCAACATAACTATCCCAACTAGACCCTGATAATATCCCAACTAGACTACTTTATGCGTGTTGCTAGTAGCAATACACCATACGATGTTTTTAGTGGTGCCACATATGCATGATACTATGTAGTCTGTGTTCATTACATGTGCATTGTAATGTTATATGTCAATTAGTTATTAAGTTATGGATGAGTGGTTTGTGATATCGTTACTAACTTGTCTATGTTATATACATATTTATGTTTGTATGTGTTTGGCTACCCGGTATGCATTCCTACACCATGAACCAAAGTGATATGTTTCTCACTTTCTTTCTTATATTATTTTCCTTTGGTTGTTATGCAGGTGATTATCAGCATGAGACTAAAGATGTTGGTGATGAAGTTTAGGATTCAATGTTAGTATGTTGTTATATTTAATTATTTGGAAGATATTAGTTTTCTTCTATTTGTAATTTTTGTTGATTATTTTATTTTATTTAAGTTATGAATGTGATGCTATCTATTTTAACACATTAGTTATTCAGTTTTTATTATTTGTGTTATTCAGTTTTTATTATTTGTGTTATAGCATGAAGGGTAGAGGGTGTTACAATCAAAACAAAGAAGAAAGTGTTCACCAGTACCAATGATTGATTGGGTGAAGGAGGAATAACACACCACAAAACGAGCAAATGGGCAAGAATGTGAGACTCAGTTTTCTCTTGTGTGCAATGAGGAAAGTAGCAACACAACGACCGCTCTAAAGGTGAATCCTATGGTCGTTGCATTGGAAAATTGTAAAGGCAAAAAAAGAAAGGGAAAAAGCCAAAAGGGAAATTACAAAGCAAAATTACCTTTCACTATGATTCATCATTGGTTAAAAAGGACTTGAGCATAAGGAGATTGATCATCGTCTGTTGAAAAAGGGTTTAGGTACACAAGATTAGGAAGAGTTAGGAGAATGACTATCATGAGCTGGCTCAAGAGGGTTTGGAAGCTATTTAATATTGCATCGGTCACGCAAAAAAATCGATGTAGAACATTGCATATCTACATCAGTTCCCCCTAAAACTAATATAGATATGCTTATGTTTTACATTTACTTACAAAATTATCACCATGTTTTGTTTCTACATCGTTTTTCTTCAAACTGGTATAGAATTGGTGACATGGAACAATATTTTTCTTGTAGTTTTTTACCACGAGTTAAAGGCTAATTACATTGCCATATTTTATTGTATTTCAGGTTAAAATTATTTGGGATAAAAGGGTGTCACAAACTTTAAAAAATAATCCATGTTAAAATAAATAAAAAATACTATTTTATATTAAAATATTTTATAAAATAATTGTTAAATTGATGATGAATATATTCTTATTTTTCAATTTATATATTTATTCACTTTAAAAAATATATAGTTTCATATAAAATATTGAACAACAAATAATAAGAGTGTTCATGGATTATAGTTTGGTTTAGATTTTAGGTAAATCAAAGTTTGAACCAAACAATTTTAATTGATTTGATTCAAATTACATTTATCATATAAAAAATGCAATCCGAATCAAACCAATCAATAATGCATTAGTTCGATTTAGATTAATTGGTTTTCTTAAAAACATTGTTAATATTTTTTTAAAATGAAGAATACATTACTTTATTCCAAAATTTAAATAACAATCTATTATTAAAATAGTGTAAATATCTTTCAATCATAAATAAAAAAGTAATGTAAAAAATAAACATAGTCTAACATATGAAATTAAAGTATTCAAACATTTAAAACCTATACAATCCTAACACAACTAAATATTCTAAGTTACAATCATTATTCAAATAGTTTTCATGCATTCTAATAAAGTTATTATCAATAAAATCACAATATTATAAAATAATATTAAGATAATAATAATAATAATAATAATAATAATAATTTTAATTAATTTAGTTCTCGGATCATCAGATTTATAAAATGCAAATTTGTGATCCTAACCAATTAAGGTTGGATATAATCAGTTGATCCGATAAAAAAAATTAAAGCAACTTAATTGATTTGATTTGAATAATTGATTTTATTATATTGTTTAAACCGACGAATACCCCTGACAAATAAAAATGTATTTTCTCTCTTCAAATAGAAAGTATGTATGATTTTACAAAGAAGAGAAAAAAAAAACTTGATCAATTAGTATCTTATAAATACATGAGTAAGGGGATGTCTAGGTTTAAAGAATTAAAGATACATAATTTCTTCTTTTGGGGTGAGAAAATAGAAAAACATATTTGTAGTAACAAAATGTTTTATTCATTAAAAACTTTCACTTTCACTTTAGATACATTCTATACATTGAATTATTGGGATTGACTTAGTGTTGATAATTGAGATAATATGTATAGGATTCTAAATTTAAATTATGTTGTTCTCATTGTAATTTTTACCTTAAAAAATATATTATATACACATTTATTAGTTAGGAGTGAGTCTTTTTTTTTTTTTTTTTATCATGATATTAGCAAAAGTATTGACCAACTTTAGTCATAATTAGTCTTTTTTAGGACTTTATCTGCATTAAGGTTATGAGTGAGCCTTTAATTAAACTTTCAAATAACATTGAAATAAAAGTTGGTAAAGTTAGATTTAAAGGAAATGAGATGAATTATTTTAAAAAGTGTGATCAAAATACGAACTGAAAGTAATTTGAAAACGTACAAATTTATTATTCTAATGTTAATCAAATAGAATTATAATAATCTAAATTTTTTAAAAATAAGTAAAACACAAAAAAAAAAAGAAGGTAAATTCTCTCATGTGAAAATTGATCATTATAGATTCCACTTTTTAATATATCCCTCACAAATAAGAAAGATTTTGACTGCATATAAGAATGTTATAACCAACAATTAACAGAGAATTAATCTTTATTAATTAAGCAATAGATAGTACACCTTAAGGGAATATAAAAAATTGCAAGTGAACTAATTTTACAACAAAAATATGGCAATCAATCAAACGAAGATCTTCGATGGCAATTTTGAAATCCACCCTTCTTTATCAATAAAAGAGATATCTAAGAATTTATCAAGTTCCGGTCCACTTAAGTGCTTAATCCATTTGGCACGTTTTACTTTATTTGCCCCTGGTCCTGTATTTCCCTCCTCCACAAATGTAATAGTTTGTCTGTAATTAAGTTTGTGTCAACACATGAATGCATAAAATAATGGTAATCACTGAAGTAAGTCATCTAAAATAGGAGGTAGCTTTAGAAAGAAAATAAAATCTTATTTGGACTCCTCTAAAGTGAAGGAAGTATAATTTATAAGATAAAGTATATAATTATTGTTAATTGTTGAGATTGTAAGTTTATTATACATGAGAGTGTATTTTATTAAAATCTCAACCATTTTTTTTAAAATTAACAATTATAACTACACTTTATCTTTCATAATACATCATTTTCAAGAGTCAAATCCAAATATAAAAAAATAAAAATAAAAACAACTAAATTTCACATAAATTTAAACATCTTACTCATGGCCAGCAAAGGTACGAGCACCCCAACCCACAGGTGTTACCACGTCTGATAGGAATGAGTTTGTTATGATGACTCTTGAATAAGCCCTTAAAGATCTCCCTAGTATAGCATTTCCTTTTGTCCCCGTAAATTTGCAATTTTTAAAAACAAATCCACTAGGATCATTTGGTGAGTCCCTTTCTTGTGCCGTAAAACACCCACTCCTTTTGGGACCATTTTTACCCATTGAAAAAAACAATTCACTTGCCTATATTTTTCACAACTTTACAATCAGTTACTACTTCTGATGAATACCAATAAACTGTGTATGTTATGTGAGACTGAAATTTGAAGAATAATTGTCTTTATTCTTTAGTAAACGTATAGAAGTTGGCCTAGAGTAAATAATTTCTCCATATAAGTTGAATTGAACATACATTCTAAAAACAATATAGAAATTAGAGGAGTGTTAAAAACACACTTCTTCTAATACATTACTGGTTGAAATTTACTAAAATTATAAAATTAAGAGAGATTTACTAAATAAAAACTGAGATTGGAAAAATCTATTTTTTAAAAAAAATTTAGTCAATATTAAAAAGTCCATTCAAAAGAATGTGTTGCTAGCTTTTCTCAATAAATTATTAAAAGAATATGAAATGAAGTTAATTTTATTGTACCTCAAATACTGACTGACCATTCCCAAATATGAAATCAATCCCACCTTGAATATAGCAATTATGGTAGTAATGACGACCATATTCATCATATAAGGTGTCTTGCACCCCTAGAAAAGAACAATTAAAGAAAGCACATTTATCTCCATGAATTCGTGCTGCCACAGCTTGTGTGATTGCAATTTCGTCTGATACAGGTGCGTTGAGTGTATTCTGAAAATAAGAAAATATAAAATATATTATCCTTATTTAATATAAATAATGATTATACTACTCTCTTCATCTCATTATAAATATTATTTTAGAATTTTGTTTACACAGACTATAAAATGTTAATAAATAAATAAATAAAGAATAGTAATTTTACAAAACTAATGGTATTATTAATTATATTATTAGAAGAAAAAAACACAATAATTATTTTCTAAAAAGTATTACTAGGTGTACAAATAAAAATAAAGTAATTAATATTATGTTAAAAATTATAACAATACTTATTCTAGGACTAATTTTTCTTTTTTACACAACACTTGTTATAAGATTGATGTAATAAACAAATATTTTAAAAGCATCGATACCTTGAAAGTAATCCCACTTGCAATAATATTATTTGCTTGGGAATTAAAAGTAGCATTAAGATTAGGATGGATACTCCATTCGATGTTGGTGAATTGGCTACCAGCTCCTTCTAGATAAATGCATGGTTTGCTCATCGGAATTAGGACTTGTTCTCTGAATTTCATGAAGTACATAATGTACAAGTTTATTAACACAAATGTGGCCAAAAAAATGTTGGAGATCAAACAATTCATATTAAAGTTAACACAATTAAGCATACAAAGAAAAATACATGCATGAACAATTCGAAAACTTCCTACAAAATGCTTTTATTTAATTTATTAGATAAAAATGTATTAATAAGTGCTTCTTACTTTTTTCATCTAATAATCTCTTGATAAAAATGTTAGAAAGACCTGTATGAAGATTTAGAAAATATTACGTGTAAACGCCAGGAGAAATTTGGATGTGAATCCATTGAGAATTTTGTTCTGGAATAGAGTTAATGGCACTTTGAATTGTTTGAAAATTTGCTTTGCCTGACTTGCTAACAGTAACCCACTTTGGTGGATTAGCACAATTTTGGGACTCACAAACATTGCATACAATCATTACTGAAAACATAAAAATGAACAAAAATTGTTGTGGGAACTGCATTTTTGTTTTCTTTTCAAGATACAAATGGTGAAAGATAAGATCTCAATAATTCTTTAGTTTTACTATATGAACAATTGATATTGGGACTATTTATTTTGGAAAAAAAAATACTTGGATTTAGATCTTCTCATGTGATACTGTTTTTTCATAAAATCTTAGTCTTTAACTAAAAAGAAAGAAAGAAAAGATTTAAATACTTAAAAAAAAAAATAATAAATAAAAGACAATATGAGATTTGAATGATGAAAATTTTCACCAAAAATAATCTAACTGAAAATCTAAGAGAATCCATAAGTAAAATCTATAAGGAAATTTATACATAATTAGTCGCAAGATCATAGTTTACATAAATAGTTGGTTACGCTCATTAATGTCAAAGAATTGGTATTATTACTTTTATTTATATAAAAATGTATATATATATATATATATATATATATATATATATTATTCTTTTAGCTTAAATATATTTTTATTCCATTTATAATAAATAATTTTTATTTTGGTATATGTCATTTTTTTTTGTTAGATAACTTTTTGGTTCTTATAATGTACCAGTTTTTCGGTTTTGGTTGCAAAAACAAGATTTTCTTAACTTTTGATTTTGCAATTTTTTTATTTTGTGTTTTTGGTCTCTTGCAATTACTTTTTCACCATTTTTGCATGACATACGATGGAAACCTCAAGGAGGAATCGGATTGATGTGCCTTTTTCTTCAAGCTTCTAAAATGGATATTTTCTTTTTTGGTCTCATCTTAACTTCTTCAATGGCTTCCAAAAGTGCTAGAAGCCATCTTCAAACATACATGGAAGAGAAGGAATCTCCCTTGGTAACGTCACACTCAATGTGAGTGATAAGTCCCTCCAATTCTTGCCATACTAAAGAGATGATAAGAGAAAAGGATTGAGTTTCAAAGAGAAAAACAAGATTTGAGAGAGAATTTGCAGACAAATTTCTTCCAAATCATTTATATTACTCAAAACTAAAAAAAAAAAAAAAAAGGTACAAAAATACAATATATAGAGTTTAGTTGGCTTATGGTTCAAGCTAGATTAACCATGATTAAATGTAACCATGGTTAGTTATCTTATACTTAAGCTAACTAACTTTAGTTAAATGTCTACAAGTCTAGTTAGTTGTCTAAAAGCTTATGGAGCAAGTTAAGTTAATTCTAGTTTAAGAAAAACTTAGGTTAGCTTAAGTTAATTCCAACTATCTAACCTAATCATTACAACTACTAGACTAGTGATTACTTTTAACAAGTTTGTTGAAATGTCATTATCAAAGCCATGTGACTTAATTTGTAGCTTGGATGGCAAGCTTGACATGGTTTGGATATCCAAACCACTTGCATGAGCAAGTGGACATCCAAACCTATGGGCCATAAAAATATTTGGGCCATCCAAACCCAAATAAGTCTAACAAGACTTTGCTAGTTACGCCTCCCCTAATTTATTAATTACACCCTTAATTAAAATACAATACAAGAATAAAATTACCTATACTACTTAACCCAAAATACAAGGTCAAAATAAAAGAAAATATTTACAAGAAAAATATTCAAAAAGAAGGATGAACTACGAAATACGCCTATAGCTCCATAGAAGCTTAGGCGTTCTATCTTCATCTTGAGCCCACTTCTCTTACATTCTTCTTGACATTGCTTTTATCAAAGGTCATATGATCTTCAAGAATGGTTTTCCATCATCCCCTCCTTCTTGAGAAGGACTTGTCCTCAAATCACAAGTTCCTTCTTCTCCTACAAGAGAAAATAAATTGTAGGCATTAGAAATATTATTTACTTAATGCTCTAAGGAACTTAGCCTATTGCTCCTCTCTAAATGTGGAATGGTCCTATTCTTAAGAATTTTTCTTTTCTTGGGGTGGGGTCCTCTTGAACCCCTTTTATTCTATCGACACTTTCTATACTTAAGCTCTATTTTCGTAGAAGAGGTATACTATCAATTTGTAATATGTACAAAAGAAGAAGAAATAAGGTTTTAGTAGCTTTCTAGCCTAATCCCTTAGGATCCCACATAGATTCATCCCTTTCAAAGGGTTCCTTAGGTAGAATTACATCATCCTCTCCTCCTTCTAGAGGATTTACTCTCAAATCTTTAGGCTCTTCCACAATTTCCTCAACACCTTCAAAGGATGTTATAACATATGAATTAGAAATGTTTTTCATAATATAAACATGAAGGAGGTGTTTCCTATAAGGGATCTTTTCCCAAAAGCTAAAAGGGTTATCTAATCTGAAGAGAAAGATAGACTCCTTGATAGTAAGTAAAGCACCCTCACTAAAGTGAAGTCTAAGGTGACAACTAAAACCTAAAAAGGTAAAACTAGTAAGGCTAAAACAAAATAATTAAGTTTCTATTCCTAAAATTAAAATATCTTGCCTAAGGTATGTCGGAACCCGAAAAATTTTGATCTTGCCCACAGATGGTTTTGGCTTCTATTTGAAAATCTCATCGGTTTAGGAATGTTCGAAGACCAAACTAATCCTTTACCAATGGTTTTTGTAAAAGGTTATTAGGAGTCTCCACCAATATTTTACTCAAAACATCATAAAAATGAAAAGGTTTTCAAAAAGGTAATTATGGCCTTGATAGACTGAATTAGGTTCGAGGGTTCAGTTACATATAGGAAAGGTGTTAACTACCCTACAATTCCCTAATTCAGTACCCTATGATAATTTTAGCATAATAATAAACAATAATTTTAATATATACTCCTTTTATTAATTATTTACATGTCTAGATGTCTACATGATCACCAATTATTATAGAGCACAAACATATTATGAATGAAACAAATTAAATAGGTATAATAAAGAGAGAGGGAGAAGGAGTGGGAGTTAATGAAATACCTCTGAAGCAAGCTTTTATAAAACAACTTCAAATGTGGTACACAGGTGTGTTTTGGCAATTTTTCGCTCTACAAAAGTCTCACAAACACTCAAGAAAGTATAGAAAGGGAGGAGAGAGTTTCTATTAAGACTAGGTTGACCGAATAGTGTCTTCGGGAATGCGTGCATCGGACATGCATTTATAAGCTCACGAGGGCATGGGATGATCGTTCCCAAGCTTGGAACGGTCGTTCTAGCCCATGAATTTATGCTTAAAATGGGCCTTTGGAACGGCCTATTCCCAACCAAGGTTATAGGCCATTTTTTAGTTAGGAACGACTGTTCTGGGTTTGGAACAGCCGATCTGAGCCTAAAATTAGGGTTTTGAGTTTCATGGGCCTTTTAATGATTTCCTAGTCCGTTTAGGCACTCTATTGGGCCCTCAAGGGCTACTTGTGTCATTATAATAGTTCTTTGTCCTAGTCTTGACAATCCAAATGCAATCTGGTATCTACAAGGTATCCTGTATGCTTACCTAGGCTCCTATAACTAAACAAGTTAAAAACTATTAGAAAACTTCCTAAACAACTCTTAAGTATGTGATTTATTAGATGTATGTAAGAATTCAGTGAAATGATAAGCTTAAAAGACTTGATCAAACTATCATATAATCCAACATTAGTCTTAAGAGTAGTACTCAATGTGGTTTCAATGTGTTTTGAACCACTATTAAGATTAATAATAGAAGATAATGATGCACCATAAAAAGGGTCTAAAAATTCACATAGTTTAAGAGTTGGGTGCTCAAGCTTAATACCTATAAAGAAAAGTGTTATACTTATATACGTGTTTTCTTCCTTAGGCACCACCAAGTTGGAAGAGGCATAACGATTAAAACTCTTTGGAGTCCAATCCCTCTTCATCAAACTTTAGTCTTGAGATTCTTTTTCTTTTATGACTTGGGGTTTTGAAATATTTTGTTTCCCACTTGTTACAATCTCAACATCAAATTTGTGGTAGTGTGGGAGATAGAGTTAAGAGTTTGGTGAAGAGGGATAGTCTTTTTGATATCATCTTTAGTAGTAAAACTATTATCTTTCTTCGCAAACCCTTTGGAGGCGATACTTTTTTCCTTACTCTTTTCCAGAATTTATGTCTCTTTTTGTTTCTTTTATTTTTCTATGAATGGTTTTCTTTTAGGGTGACTCTTAGAAGAGTATTCTTCTTCCTTTAGGTTCTTAGGGTAGAAAAAGGTAGAGGATTCCTTTTTGTGAGAAATTTTCCTCTTGAGTCATTGCTCTTCCCTAATTCAAAGTTGGACTAGTTCATTTAAATCACTATAAGATAAAAGTTCAACCTTATCTCTAATCTAAAGATTAAGTCCACTTTGGAACCTAGCAATGGTGGTTTTTTCATCCTCCCTAATTTCTGCCCTTATTATATAGAGCCTCATCATTTGTATATACTCTTCTACACTAAGGCTTCTTTGTTGGAATCTTTGGAGCTTGTCCATTAACTCTCTAGCAAAGTATGAAGGTGCTCCTAAGCTCATTCAAATATTGAATTGGATGGTCATATCTAAATCTTTTCTTTCTTTTTAAGGAGGTTCGCCAATACATTGCATTGCCTTGAAAGCTAAAAGTAGCCATGGGAACCTTTTTCTCTTCACTCATTTTGTGGCAAGTGAAGAGTTGTTCCACCGTTATCTCCCAATCTAGATATTCTTCTTCATTGTCTCTACCATAGAAGTGGGGAAGGTCAACTTTAGGTTCTCTACGTTCATGCTTAGGCCTTTGTTGCCTAGGGAGTCTTTGATAATAATCATCATAGTAATGACTATCATAAAACCCTTCATTTGAAATGGTGAAGGTATGTGTATGTTGGCTTTTGGGCCTAGAGGTTCCTTCTATATGCTTGTCTCTAGAAGGCATAGAAGGTCATTCACAATCATGGTGTCTAGGTTTGGAAGGCTTAACATCATTATAGCCTTTGGGCTTGCAAGTTTCACCATTTCCATTGGAATGGCTAACCATAAGTTTAGCCAACATTTCTCTAATT